ATATATATACATATTTGTATAGCCATCTTTGTCAGGACATTCATTGACATAACACATTGCCTAGCTTCTTACTCTGGTCTTAATCAGGTCTTTATTTTAGGATAAAAGTTGGCATATACTCCAACCTTTACCCTAAAATAATTCTAAAATTAGCTCTAATGCCAAGCATTAACCCTCAAACAGCCCTCCTGGAGGTGTATCAGAAAGTGAGGTTTGCCCAAAATGTCTTCACTCCTACAAATATATAAACACACATATATGTGCGTCTAGATGTACACAAAAATGCACACGAAAACAAACAGAAAATATTTATGTATGCATGTCAGACATTTACATGTACACACAAACACTCATATTCTGAGTGCTGGTCTCACCATGTGAATGAGGTGTGTGCTGAGCTGGCTCAGGGGTCTGTTGGCCAGAAGCAGCTTCTCTGCTGCCTCCGTCTCCAGTGCTGGACAAGATAGCCTCTGGCTCTATGCAAGCACACACACACACACACACACACACACACACAGATGCACGCACATACACACGCACACACACACGCACACGCACACGCACGTACACACACGTTAAATCATTTATAGAGATTTGACAGTCAATAATGATGGATCCAGAGACCTGCCAAGACTTATTCTGACAGACTGAGAGACACAGAAAGACACACTGATAGACTACGAGAGGAAACACTTTTTCCTGCATGTGTTGTGTTATTTACCACAAGATGCGTTCACGACAACATGGGTTGAACATGTTTCTTTCTCACACCAAGTTATTTTTTGCACCTCGTTAAGACTGCCGTCTTCCAGAGTCCTTCGTTTTTTTCTGCCCTTCATCACTAACACCTCTGTGCCTCACTTCTGCTTATTTTAGTTCAGTTCGTGCCTACAGTGGAACTTCAGGCCAATTAGCGGTGGAATAATGTGATTAATACTGGCACACATTTTCTCTCTCCCTCCCAAAGTCACTCTCTCTCTGCTGTGCTCTCTCTCTCTCTCTTTCTTCTGTAGTATATATAATCTCTGACTCGCTCTCTCTTGACCAACTGAGTAATAGTTTGGGGAGAGCGGTCTGGTCACGTCCTCGCTCCTTATCAGACCTTATTACCCAAATGAATTTGGTTTGGGCAGAAGTTTTCTTTTTAATGAGCTTTGCATTTCTCGCAGAATTGATTTCCGCTGCACACTCTGCTTGCTCCCTTTTCCATCTCCCTCTATCTCTCCATCCTTCTTTCTCCCTCTGCTGTCCTTCTCTCTCTCACCCAGTCTTTTACCCTGCCTCCACTTTAGTCCCCTCACCCCCCTGTCCAGGCATTAATATGTATGCGTTGGGCTGGGGTGCACACTATGGGGAGATGGGGGCTGGTTTGTGTGCGCGCCTATGTGAAAGTGTGTTATGTGTGTGTGTAGTGAGGCAAGCTGAGGACAAAGCCAGCGGTGATAATGAGGCCGCAGGGACATAAGCCAGACAGGCCCCTCAGTGTATTTCCTGTATGTGTGTGTGTGTGTCCCAGGGACTCAGGACCTCATTCGCTTACTCCTGAGTCCACAACTTCAATATTGCAGTTTCTTATACCTGCTAGCTTCCACAGCATACATCAAGGGACACACACACTCACAAACACACACATACACAAGCCTTCGGGGACACGATACAAGGGCCACATTTCGAGGAAGTTGACTTTGTGATTCTGTTGGTGAATCTGCACTCACCAGAAATGAAGATGGCAAATGGTGGTGAATCAATGTGGGAAATACACGAGTCTATAAGGGCCAGTGTAACATGATGAAGTTAAAAAAACTAACACGTTTAACAGTAACATACAAAAAAATACTATAAAATAGCCACTATGACTCTGGGGATTTGTTTTGTCAATGCTGTTGTCACATTTGGAATTATGTAATACTCAAGCTATGCTCTTTAAGTGTATTGGATTTAAAATACTGATAGTTTGTAGACATAAAGTCCTACATGAAATGCTACAGAAGAATGAGATACTGGGGCTTGAATTAGTTTTTTTTTTGCATTTCTTTTTTTCTAAAATTACAGTGTTTTATACAACACTCACTGTGTTCATGTTAGTTAAATGTTCTTAATGGCATTATTGTCATGTAGGCACATACTATGCATTCTGCTATGACATTATTTAGTTTTTATTGTGTTATCAAGTTTTTTGTTCTCATCTTGTTGATGTGGTTGAGTGTTCAAACCTGCAGCGCAGAGCGGACAACAGCTGATGTTTGCTTTAGGATGTTGTGAAGCAGTTCCAATAGGGCTTGCAACACAATATGGCTGACCTTCCTCCCAGCATGCCCCTCTCCATCCAGATGTACTAGTGCAGCTTCTGAGAAGGTCCTCACCACCACCTCTATGAGCCCTGTGCAGGAGAAAAAACATATTTTGCTGAGAAGCTTGTATCCCGGCTAAGAATTGTTACAGGTAACTGACTTGCATAATTGCAGAGCTCAAGCCAGGGGGTCTTTCAAAGATATTAAATTTGTGTCCTGTTGCGTTCTGCTAGCACTGTGTACAGTCACATAAACATGGCAAAAGTAGTATCATGACAGATCTTAACCAAAGCTGAACAACCAAAGCATGCACCTGGCCAGAGCCACTGGATGTTTCTTGGTTTTTGTTGATTTAAAGTTCCACTCCGGTGAAAATCAAGTATCTTTTTACATGGTTAACATGCACATGAGGTGTTTTTATTTGCTAGAAGACGCATCCCGACTGAAATAAGCAGTCAGAATCATGACTCAGCATTTCCATTTTAAAACTAGAGTGTACCAATGGCAGTCCTAAAAACACAGACTCAGATTTCCTGGGTTTTATACATAGGAAACCTAAAGAACCAATCCTGTCAGGTTGCAGCTTGGGGCTTTCCATGTCATTATTCTTCTTCAGAATTGGTTTCCGGTTTAAATATGTATGGCTGAATAACTCAAGTATTACAGCTTGGCATTGTGTAGAGGGAGTAGAGTAGCTTTTTAGTGTTTGACCAGAGTCCTAGGTGAGAAGGTGTGCACTAGCTGCAGTGAGCGAGGAAGGGTAAGTGAAGAGAGATGCAGGATCTTCATAGATCTGCACATTATGGAACAATCAACAATGCACAGTTAGATCTAAGTCATTTTAATGCAGGAAAGATTATTTTCATGGGAAAATAATAATCTAAATATATAACTGTGTTACACAGAGATGAGTTTTAGGGGTTAACAACCAAATGTCAAAGAACTTGAAATACATCATTACAATATCAACTAATTTTACAATAATTTCTAATCTCTTTTTGTGTCTTTTTGAGGGGCAATGTCCTCACATGGTAGAGATCATAAAATAAGTACCCAACAGTCTGGCTATGATTGTAACATATGCTCATAATGACAAGATGTGAGTCCATTTAGAAAACACTGAATCTTCATGGCCATTCCAAAGTATCAAACAGAATCAGTTTGGCTCACAAGAAAATTCATTAAATAATAGTAACTCACATCATAGATTATAAACCAGTCAAAGCAACCAGTTTCTATGTTCCAGACAACCAACACATCTCACCTCTCCACGGCATGTTTGTGCAGGTGTAAAGAGTAAGGTTATAGCTGAGCCTTGGAAAATGTCTGTGACCGCAGAAGCTGGTTTGACTACACAGTGGATCGATAGCTCCTGTGGACGATGAGAGACACGCTCCCTCCTCAGTCAATTAGCATTTTATTGCCACCAATTTGCCGAGCAAAGAAAACTAGCTCAATATTAACTTTAACAATCTAAACAGAACTTGAATGGTACAGGGTTAAATTTGTATTTATGAAAAACCGATTGTATTAATAAAAGTCCAGATAATGTTAACGCAAGCAGTGGCAACAAAAGGCAGTTCAATTACATACTCATCTAGAAACAGATTCTGTTCTCCTCTTCATGTCTTTCCCTTCTCTCTGCCTTCACTCCATCCCTTCTTAAAAAGATGTTCAATGTGCAACGTGAGACTGCCAACCCTTGCTCAGCAGTGAATAAATAGCACTTAGTAAAGTGCACACCCATGTTCCTCGACACATTAAATTTAACATGACAAAGAAGATTCTCCGCATTTCGCAGCTCGATCTCTGTAGCAAGCTGTTGTAATCATCCTGAGGTGTAGTCACGCTACATGTCTCTGTAAACGAATACTGAATAGATTCTGCCTGGACTAGGTTGACATCAAACATGTACTTCAACAAATGTACACCGCTCCAATACTCATGTGATCAGTAAGTCCAGAGCTTTCCTTCATTTCCATTTCTGTGCACAAAAAAGTTAAACAGCAAATGTATTAAATCATGGTCTTCGCTAGGGAAAATACGCCAAGTTTTATTTTCCTATTCCAACAGATCTTTATTTAGAATGTAGATGTGTTTATTTTTGTGAGTGAAAGTGCAATACTGCAGACACTAGAAAGCTATTTAGCTTGCCTGCTGTCAGTGAGATGTACTGTTACTCTGTCAAACAGCCTCATAATTAATTAGACAAGCTGCTCTACTTTGGATGGTTCAATCAAACAAAGGCCTCTTCTGCTGTTAATGCAATCTGACAATATAATCCCACTTAGATGCAAACTCTGTCCTAGATAGTTGCTCATATATACGTTAATAAAAATGATTTTGTTATTACCTGCTGAGAAAAGCTGACATCACTATAAACAGCCATCTTTATCGAATCAAGTAAACTAACAGGATACTTTATCAGATCAAATCTTTAAACATTCCTGACATTTAAACCACCAGTCAAGTGTACATTAAAACCTGTAGATACATAAGTAATCAAAACTGAAATAGTTCTTAGTTTTCAAGTTAAGATACACCTAAAAGAGTTGTGCTGTTTAACAAAAAAGCAGCACAAACATGCCAATATGTGCGCTTTAATGCTTCAGCTTTACACATAATCTGCCATTACTCAATTGAAATATGTATTTCAATTAAGTTACACAGTACAAACCTTAAAATGTTCACAATTTAACTAAAAAGAGGGGGTAATAGATTTTTTGTCAGTGCCGATACTGATTTTTAGTAATCCAGGAGGTTGTTATTTCAAACCAATATATAGCTACAGCAAAAACGAAAATGTTGGTGTCAAAATTTAGAATAACACAAACTCCAACATCATTCTGTTTGTGACTAAAAACACAATGAGGAGGCTGAATTAGAGCAAAAATAGAGCATATTTAAGTAAATGTATTTTTGTCAAAAACAGGTTAAAAAAGACGAACAATACCATATAACGTGAAAATTATGAATATCGGATCGAGTAACTGGTCAGGACAGTAACTCATTGACCACTACTACAAAGGTCACATGACACAATTAAAAATGTATATATATAAGCTACTAATGCAAAGAAACTGTGTATTAGAAGGACGTATTGCAGAAAAGACTTCAATACAGTCTCACCTTCAAAAACAACTCAAGTCCCTATTCTTTAGATATGTTTCCAGGGAAATTTAAAATGTACCAAACATTGTTTCTAAATACATCCAGTCTTGACTTTAAAAATGCCTTTATTTCCCCACGGAATAAATGTATAAATGTACATACTATTCCAGCTCTTTCAGCCTAATCACAGAACAAAACCACAAAGGCTGGCAGTTTTAAGGTGACAAACTTAGAACATATTGAGTGAGTTAACACACTAAGACTAATTGAGGCATTGACATTTCACATAGATTAGACAATGTCATCATGTCTGCTGACTGAATTTCACTGGCTGTTGAGCAAATTAAAGTTACAGATGAAAGCTCAGCAATATGAATAAAGAAATTACTTGAACCAAAAGAGACATTTCAATTCACATCCTCACCAGCAAAGCAGAGTCTGTACTTAACTTCAGATAGATGTATAGTTTTTACTGTCATCTAGCCTCCTCCTCAGTTTGTAGGTTGTAAAAAACCTTTCCTCTCAGCTGACAGAATCCCTAAAATCATCCGAAAGTCACAAGATAAATATGGTCTTTCCAGCTGCAGCCACCAGTTCAAAACTTTGCACATTTCTTAACTACAAAGAAAAGTAACTGGTTGCTTTGAAGTCTACGATCTAAACCACTTCCTAAATTAAAGTGTACAAACTACTGCGAGTGTGGAGACAGAAGCATGTTGGCAATGCACTAAGTCCACATATCTATAAAGTTCCATTAAAAATAATTTAAAGACCGTCAGCAGCTGTGACAATAGCTCTTCCATTGATGGAACGGAAGCAAAATAGCAAGTGTGGTTGAACACGTGCAACATCTTATGACTTCTGACTGGCAGACATTACTGCTTGAAAGGTTGTACACAAGCATACGAACATACACACACATACTGTGGGTTTCTTTTCCATATCTCAGTTTAATATGTTCATGGGTTCGGCAGAACTCCAAGCTCTGTGTTTTTGTGAGAAATGAGAAAGGAGTACTGCTTTGACCAACAGACAGAGATGTGTTTCCTTGTGAGGTGGAGATGTAAATAAGTGTACTCAGGGGGCAGCAGCTCGAAATTCATTCAGGCTATGCTAAAGAGTACATTTAAAAATGTCACACATGAACAAATATTACTTGTTCAATTTAAGGCCAAGTGAATAATTTATGAGTGAAAATCATTGCGCTCTGTCTTATTTTGGCATTCTTGACTTTATCTAGGTTAAAAATAGACTTTCTACAATGCTTTGCAGTATTTTCTATTTATAAACCACTGTAAAATTAGTTCTACTGGGAATCAACAGAATGGAAGGCTCAGAGCACTACTATAAGCAAAGAAGGAAAGTTTTCTGCAGAAACCTCTACTGAACTGATTACATATGACAAATAGACAATGTTTTATTCAGTTCAAGTTCATGTTATATTGCCATGTTAACATAAATCTATGTGGCATCTAAGTATTTTTTTATATACTTGCTGAATATCTAAATGTAAATGATTTTCCATGTTGATAAGATTTTAAAAGCCCATCAGTCCCCAGCCAGATAAAGCCCATGATTGTGTACAATTTTTGGTTCCATCCCATAGCCACTACAGCCTCTACAGGAGCACAACCACACAGCTAGCCTCAAAAACGTTGCCAAAAGATTGCAATCTGCTTAAAAAATATGTACCAAAAATACACTTGGACAATAACAGTTGTGTGTTTCCAAAATATCCCATAAAACCTTCCCAATTCTCCTCCTCTGATCTCTCTTCTTAAAGTTAAGGTCTGACTGTATTGAGTTAAATGAACTAAAGAAACTATAGTTAGGTCAAGATTGTGGTCAGGTTCAAGGTAAGGGAAAAGACCACGACACTGACACATATTGTCATAACTGTTAATGTGTGGCATGTTATAATTGATTATTCACACTGGGATGCTCTTTGTAAAACAAAATGCTTAATTTTACAAATGTTTATAAATCAATATTTTTTCACTGGTATCCAGAGATGCAATGCTAACTTAAGACACACTGCAAAACATCTTACACTTACTGTCAAAAGTGTTCTATCGATTTCCATTATGCAAAACTGTCAGTCCAGAGACCTCTTGGGTGTTGGTTAATATGAAAACATTAATATGGAAGACAGATCTTGGTGGTATAAATTATGCTAGAGGGTATTATTATTGATTGGACACATATGGACACAGTGTGAAAGAACCATAATAGAATTTGTTTAGACACTGTTTGGGGAAATCACCAGAAAGCAATTTCAAATGGCAATTTATAGATGCAAATTCCACAGAAACTAGATAACAGCGGCACAGAAGCAATTACCTGAAAAACTCCTGTGAGTTTCTTATGGAAGGTCAAGAGACAGAACAAGAATTGGTGACGGATTAAACCTGAAGAGGAACCTCAAAGACCTTCAAGGATTCTGAAGACACACAAAGCCCCTGCAGATTTCTTTTATTAATTAAAGGACAACTGTACTTTAATTAACAAACACCTTGTCAGCACCTCAGCTCAGGACCAAACTGAGAGGTCGATCAGGGAGTGAACACTTCTGAATTGCCGGGCTAAATTTCAGATGCTGTACATGTTCGAGATGTGTCCATTTCCTTATTAAATCACACAGTCTGCTTGTCAGTTTTCCTATAAAATGGGTCTCAGCTGTACCCTTAGTAGAGAAGCCCTGGACCTCATGTCCTTATATAATCAGACTACAACCTAGACTTTCTCCATCAGTCTGCTACATGTTCTGAAATTAAAACTGTGCTATCCATGATCATAGAAAATAAGAACTTTGTTTAGAAATTGCATCCACTTATTCTTTCCCTCTAACCTCTCTCTCACAATCTGTCACTCATTTTAACCTCCATTTTCTACTTTATCATCACTTTCCTTCTCTCTGTCTCAGTTCCGAATCCACCAGATTCTCCCTCTGTACATCCCATTCTTTCCTCTGTCACCTCTCCGCTACCCTTTTAGCCTCCTATTTTGCTTTTCTGGCTCTATCATCCGCCCTCTCTCTTCTCTCTCATGCTTTTTTTTTTGCCATCTTCATTTTCTTTTTGTTGTTCTTTTCTTCCTCCCTTTTTCTGTCTCTCTCTCTACTAGCTCTGTCTTCATTCCCCAGGGGGTATTATCTCAGTCGGAGGCAAATCTGCCCAATTATAAACCTCATCTCCTCTCTCTCCTGCACGCACACACACACACTTACACTGCTGCATCCACACATGCACACACATCTCTCTGTTTTACACATAAGCACAAATACATTCACATAAGCACAAAAAAACCCACCTCCCTATTTTGCTCTTCTTCACTGTCTATTTCTTCGCCTCCCCACACACACATACACACTCACACACAAACAGACACACGCGTACAGATTCACACACCACCCTTCCCCTCCTCTCTCTGTCACACCTTAAAAAGCCAATTATACACGCTTCCTCCCTTTGCCTCTACTCTCGTTCTCTCCCTCTCCCTTCCTTCTTGCCATCGCCACATTGATCTGGAGCGAACCACAATGAAAACAAGGGAGAAAGAGGAGAAGAGAAGACTGAAGAGGAGCCCAAAATAGAGGACAGGGAACAGGGTAAAATTGGGAACAGCAACGAGGAAGGAAAGGAGATGAGGGTGCAAGATGGGACCTGAGCAGACTGGAAAAGTGGATGATAGGAGACAAGAAGGAGGGATGCGAGGAGAAAAACAAAGTAAAAGAGACAGAGTAGGAAAGAACGGAAGAGAGGAGTGGAGATAGCGTTAATTGTCAGGCCAGTATTAGTGCTGGGTTGACAGTTTTTTGTTGAGAAGAGAGCTGATTGGATGATAATGATGCTGACTACTGAACTGCCGCACTGCTGACCCAATAGAAATAGAGGGAGAGGAGGGGTTGATAGTAGATAGGAGTGTACAGAGGAAAGGATGGATAGAAAGAGACACAAAATGATGGGCAAAAGAGAGGGAGAGAAAGAGCGAAATGAACAGAGTCCGTAAATAGAAATCCGAGAGAGCAAGTATTATTGTGTTGTGTTTTCATTGCAGCTGAGAGTTGCATTTACACTGTTGAACTGTGTGTCCCAAACATTTGCATATGCACACATCTCACACACACACACAGAAACAGCAGCAAGCATTGTTAATTTACTGCCTTCATTCTGTAATGTTACATTTAGGCTGCATCCATACATGCCCAGGCTTTGTGTGTTACTGTTCCTTCCCTCTAATTAAAGTCTTAATCCTAAACTAACTCTGCAGTGCTGTAATGGGTCTAAATTAACTCGTAAAATTTTTCTCATTCTCAAAGACTACACTACATAAATTTGACTCCTCCCTGGGGATTCACTGGACTCACTTGCAATTGACAGGAAATTTTAATATTATTAAGTTTCACCATAGCCGAAGGACAAAAAGCAAAACCTCTGCCTCAGGCACACGCAGACACATAGTCAAGGGTGCTGACCTGAATAAGCATTAGGTTGCAGCGGGGAGGGCTAGAAAAGATGTCAACAAGTAACATTACAATAACTAATGCAAGCAGAGGAGACACCTGATACCAGCACAATGTGCAGTAGTACAGGAGGGTCAATGACAGACAGGCCTCTAGGACTCACTTACCTCACTCACTAATCGTACCAGTTTAAGAGAAAGCAAAACACAAGAAAGACAAGCATGGAAGAATGTTTTAAATCAGAACAAAGTTGTTTCTTCCCTCTGTCCATCCATTAAGTACGCAGACATACTGTACCTTGCTGATATAGCGGATGCTGATCCAGGACTGTGTCTCCACTAAGATTACACAGCAACACAACTGCATTCTGGACCATCCCATTGGTGACATTACGACTGTTGTTCTTGAAAAAAAGATAGAATAACATGTGATGACTTGAGATAGACAACGCAGAGGACTTATTAATCAATGCACAGTTATCCTTGACTTTTATCATGTATTTAAAAACAACACAAAAACTAGCACTGTGTGTGTGTGTGTGTGTGTGTGTGTGTGTGTGCGCGCGCGCGTGTGCGTGTGCATGCGTGCCCTTGTGGAGCATCAGTCAGAATTATTGACTTGGTATAAAAACACAAACACATCATTACTGATGATAGCTTTGGATTTTTATTTTTTATTTTTTATAACATGACCTCTGTCAACATATTAAATGTATTAAAAACATATAATTGCACACAAACCTCGAACTGGTACAGTTCCCATTGTTGGTCTGTTTGAACTGTTCATGCTTTTCTTTCTTTTTGAATATTTTTACAATATTTGTACTGAGTAACCTGCGTAAATATAGTACACATCAGACTGCTATACAGAGACTCATAACCTCGTGCGTTGAACACAGAAAAACGCATCTAGCTACCATGGATGTTTCTGGGAGGCTGGCTGTGACTTTATGCTTTTTACAGGATATAGGCAGCTGGATACAGATTCGAGTCTAGCATCATATCAATGTGATTATATCTGAGGTGTGCTTGGCATGGTGGATCAATATGGCACAGGGTTTCTGGAGAATTCCAACTGAGTTTGGACACTGTCATTGGAATGTATGTACAAATCAACGCACCTTCTGTTCAACTCTTTAAATTAAAAATTGTAAAGGTGTGGGTAAAGGAGAATTTCTTCACACCGCCTCTCCATTAAAACAACACGCAGACTCTCATGGACTTAGGTGGACGATGAAATTAACATCACATGTACCCTTTCTTGAGAACACCTGGATGCAGAAAGCATGAACTGGCCTTTAAACCTTGGCTATACTCCCTTTCAGATGCACACATGGACAGCTGCGGACATTATGGAAACATAGTTGTTGCCAATATACTAGTGTGAAGTCCGCTTAAAGTCCAGTGGGAGAACTCTGTTACGTACATGCAAGTAGGATGTATGGAACAGACTGCTCTTGTAGCATAGTTGCTCCGTGGGCATAATGATGTGTTGCATGCAGAGGTGTTGGGCAGACTCAGCGGGTCTTGGTGAGATGGTGAAATTCCTTTCACGCAGACCGTAGTGGACACAAAAAGTGTAACATTGGCCTTAATGCTTTAAGACTTTCAGCTCAGTGCTACATCTTGGATGCTGTCAGCAGGGATGCATTAGGAGAGGTGGACACAGTGTGACAGAATCAGGGGCCGCCCATGTTACTGCAGCCCAGACAACAGTATCTCCCACATGCTGCCATTAAAGACACATCTGTGAAACTGTTAGCAAGTCGGCACATGAGATCAGCTATACTAGTACATCATGGGGCACACTAAACACAAATCTGCCAATCAGCCCAAATAGCATGGATCTTTAGTCATATTTTTCTTGACAAAATTATATTTTGTTGTGAAAAATCACTGGTTAGCTGTTTAGTAGGTCTCCAGTTTATTGGATGCAGGCTTATGGCATTTCTTATTAGTGCTTATCAGTGAATCTATTGTTCGACAGCATGGACTGGACTTTTCACTGTTTTATGGACACAGCTGTCAGTGCTTTTCAAGGCATTTTTTTTTTACTGACAGAAGCACAAGAATATAGCAAACTGACATGACATCTTCAATCTGAGAAGGACAATATTTACAATTCTGTAAAAATTGTTTTGCTCAAATAATTTTTGGGCAAAAGAATAAATAATTTCTTTACAATAGAGGATGATGCAGTTGTGGTAATACAATGATTTTAACTATACTGTTCTTCCCTGCACTCTTTCTATTCCATTTCCTCCTCCTTACAAATCTTTTCTCCTTCCTCCTATAGTAAATCACTTCTCCTTCCCCCTCCTGCCCCCATTTCACTATTTGATCCTCTCTGAGATACATCAGCTCTGCCTGCGGGGTCTGTGCACATCAGTCTGATCTGGGTACGGGCTGATAAGCCTGGCTGGTACTCATCATGTGCCGTTGCCTGAGGCTGAAGACAATGACATCAGTTCGCGCCTAGGACAACCTGCCTGTCAGTAACAACAAATGACAAAGCTAATCTGTTTTGATCTTTATGGACTAATAATCCATTAAAAGACTAGTATACATCAATGAAAGCATAAACCTGGCAATGACCAATGACCAACCAAAGTTCAACTTGCACCTTAACTCAGAAAATTCAACTTCTTTAAGTGGTGCATCTACACTATGTATAGTATCAGTCAGGCAGAGTTTGTAAACACGTTTTTCTGCAAGCAACCCACTCTGAACAGTATTCTGCCTCCTCAGGCACAGCAACCAACCAGTTAAGAACCCTGGTCCAGCCAGCATGCTGAGGTCCTTTCATGTCTGAAGCAGAACTACTTCATCATCTAGACAAATACAATTAGGTGAGTTTCTCCATGACAAGTGTGATCACCAGCGACAGGTGCAATCAATCCAGATCAGAGAGTTTCAGGCAACATAAATCAATCCATATGTGAGCAACATAGACGGCAGTAATGGATCCAGACATGACCGGTTTAGACAGGAGTAAACAATCAGGAGACAAGTTAATCAGGCTGTTGGATAACAGTGTTTAACATTCTGCATCAGCTAGTCGGGGCTGGACAGGCAGCCATGCAGAACACTGATTATTAAGTGCGTATGTGTGAGTGCAAATGTGTGTGTGTGTATATAAAGTGAAAATTGTTTGCTGCAGCACAAGTGTTCTGATTTGCTGAAAACAGTCTGTACTGTGTTAGTGGGTGCGTTAGATTGTGTGTATGCAAAAAGGGTCAGGTGAAATAAATTGTTTACTGGAAACGTTGTTATGCCTCACTGATAACTGACAAGTGCTGCGTGTCTGTGTGCAAGCTCTTAATAGTGGAGTCCATATTCCCACTCTATTAACCCCTTCTCCTCTTTACTGCTGACCTGCCAGTCAATTACACCAGCCCTCTAATAGGTCACCACCACTCAGACTAATTTACATAAATACATCTATCAGGGTTAGATGGAGCGAGTGAAAGAGGAAAGAGAAGCAAGGAGAAAGAGTATAACTGAGCTGTAATAAAACAAGGAAATGACATAAAATAATGCAAATTGTGATAAGTGGATTTGATGAGCTGATTGTAAGTCTATTTAATATTTGACTGACTGACCGACCGACTGATTTACTGACTGGCTCAATGAAAACTAATTGAGTTTGGTTTCTTACCATAATGAGCTGAAAGACTATTGGTAGGACCCCACTATGTTTGATCAACCTGAAAAGGAGAGAGAAAATACACAATGAAGCAGCGGTAGAAAAATGAGGGTGAGGAATTAATTTAATGTATTCATCACATTCTTCACACATGGAGTTTGCACACACATGCAGACACACTGGGCTGTTTCATCTTCATTAACATTGGAGTTCTGCTACAACAACTCCTGTCTGGCAACAGTGGAAGTGGGGAGGGGAAAAAAAAGACTGAAAGAGGAGAAGTGATGAGAACAGATGAAGTGAGAGGAGGTGAGAGAGGAGAGGGAAGGACAAGAGAGAGGTGATGAGCGCTAAAGAGAAGATGAGGTAAGAGAAGATTACATTTGGCAAAGAGGAGATTAGAGGAGAGGGGAGAAGATTTGGGCAGAGAAGACAGAGGGGTGGAGGAACAAATGAATGAAAGGGGGAAGTAGAGAGGGGAAAGAAATAAGTAATGTGGATAAATCCACATTGAAAAACTAGAAGACAAGCTAAGGGACTGAGGAGAAGAGGGAGGGAGGGAGAGGGAAGGGTGACTATAGCAATGACATTCTGTGTACTTACTGATTAAGGTTTTGATTTGGTTGCTGTGTGGTTAGAGTGTCTCCATGTATGCACACACATCTTGTTTATGTGTTTGTGTCTGTGACCATTAGAAAGCACGAAACAATACAGGCCATGATGGGAACAAAGCCAGTTTAAATCAGACAGGTGCTAATACGCTAAAGGTAACAAAGCCTATCCACTAATTTAAAAATCTGTCTTCACTCTAACTATGATTTATAGCTTGTTGAGCAGGCATCAGACAACCTATGGAAACCTTTATTCAAGCAAGCTGATTCAGCAGTGTCTAACAGAGTTCTAAGCAGCAAACACTGTTCCTCCCTATCACAGAGGTATTTTTTCAGGACTGAACAGCCACAGAACTTTAGTTCATGTGATGCTCCTAGAACCATCTAAAGACGATGGTGTATGAATAGGGAAATTTTTTTTTTAATTTAATGAAAGTCAGACGCACAGGTAGAAATGCATTTGATCAGCAAAAAAAACACCAAATAGTCATCTTAAGCCACTCTTTTAGAGAGTTTTACCTTTTTTACAGTGTAAATTTCCTACCTGATATTCTGTGTTCCTACAGACATATAATTAGTTTTTTTTTCTTGTGTCAGCTGATTATGCTTACCATATATGTGCAATACTATTCATGTATGCTGAGAGCATATTCTCTCATCTGCTATATAAACTGGGACTTATTGGAGCAAGCCAGTGTTTTGGTCCATTTAGGCCTCATGTATCTAACATTTTGAATTTCTTGGTTTTAGTTGGTAATACTAGAACCCATAATGGTTAAATTGTTGAATAGAATTCTTGCGTATTTTGGGAAATCTGTAGACTTGAACACTTGCTAGTCTCATCTGATCTCTGATGAATGTGACATTTTAAATTAAATGCTGTTGTGTATTAAAAACAGGGTTTTATTGTTTTATCTTTCAGCAGCTGAATGCAGCTGAGACAGGTGCTTCTCAGTTCCAGGACAGCAAATTTCCAGAGTGCAAAACGGACTGGAGCACACTGATTAATTCACATCTTCATCATCTCTGTTGTGCAATAGTTGGTGGAGTTGGCCAGATGCCATTATCAGCACCACTGAAGTAAAACTTTCACAGAAATTAAAGCCATGTTATTTTTTTTAGAAAGTAGCTCATGCTCCATCCTCTATACTGAGAACACTCACTGTCTATAGGTGCAGGTTGTTCGTAGAAACAAAGTTGTGGATGGCAATTATATCTTTGTAGTAACTGAGAATTTTGCCATGAAGGAGTATTTCATATTTAGCTGTGTACCCCATGTTAAGCCTTTTAATAAATGTGTTGGTGTGAGTGTGTATGTGTCTGTGATTGTGTTTGTTTGTAGATGTGATGGATGGTCTCCTATTAGGGAGGTGACAGGCTGAGAGGATGAGAGGACAGGCCAGGCCAGCACAACATGATAAACTGGACCACCTTTAAACTACCAGCCATATATCAATAGACACAGTGCACAACACCAGACACTGAACAAACCAGAACACAATAGACTACATGTAATGGAACAAACACAGAAGAGACAACCTTCACTGCATCAGTCACACATCAAACACACAGGTATACAACAGAATCAGCTTCACTGTAGAGAACACAGTAACTGTCACATAATGGGCAACCACCAAATTAGACGGACCTGCTCTCTTTTTTGTCATATATTCTGTTGTAGCTGTCAGCCACAATGCTCAGTAAAGCTTAAAAAAAAGTAAAATTGAATCTAGATGACTTTGAAAATGCCATGTGAACCTTGCTATTTACAATGAAAAGATAATAAAATCTCTATTTTTAATTTTTTAAGGCATTTATTCACAGCAGAGTAGTAAAATGAGCTGCTACTTGCAGTTACGGCTTTTTCGTATGTTAAAATGATCACTGTAGTCTAAACGGGTTACGAATCCAGTTTTCTTTGGATAAGAGAGATGTAGGTTACACGATTGAGTTTATATCAAGGTCATAATAAAAGAAAACAACAACAAAAAAATGCATAGATTCTAATACAATGCCAATACAAATCTAGTTAAACTAAGAGATGCTGCCTCATATTTGGATGATAAGTGGGAAAAGGCTATGGCACATCCGCATATATCTAGAATACAGATGTTTAAGGACACTGAACATACATGGGCAAATACACATATAACCACACAGTATTAGGTTCTTTGGCTAAAGGTCATTGTAAATGTAGTTGTTTGAAGGTGTGTCTGGACTGTGATAATGCAGAGAGAGACAGCAGGCTGCCTTTCCAACGTTAATGTCCCCAATTTACCATCTAATTACCGCTCGGCTGGCTTCATAGCCACACTTATCTAACCAAGACCCAGGCAATTTAATTTCTGATTGTATAACCGCAGTGATGGAGGGAAAGTTGTGGAGAGAGGGCACAGAAAGAGAGAAATGTGGACTAATGTTAATAAATTAGAGATGGTGAGAGAAAAAGAGCGAGGGAGACAGAGAGAAAAAAAATGTAAAATGTTGTTAATAATGTCAGAGGAAAAGAGTGAGAGAAAAACAGATGTAGAGAGAAGAGTGCTGACACCAATTTGAAAAGTTCACGTCACTCTACTTGTGTCAAGGAAAGAGGGGGATGAGGAGAAATGGAGGAAGAGAAGGATGAAGACGAGAGGGGGTAATATTGCTGATAAGAGAAGTAGGGGCATATTCAGCTATAAGGACGAACTTTAAACTGTGGGAACGGGGAGGGAAGGGATGGCTGGAGATGGAAGGAGAGTGGGATACTAGTGATAAGAGATTTATTGAGTTATTATTGCTGAAGTAGATAAAATAAGTGGATAGAAGCAGGCAAAGAAATTAAGGAAGGACAAAACAGAAGGTTAATCATGGTTGTTGTAAATTAATACTTCACATTTAAAGATTAAACATAGAACTACAGATGAGAAATAGAATACTTGAGGATGTACATTTCCATGTCTATGACCACTTTGTAATCCACAAATATCAAAAATTTTTACAGCTAAGTTTGGAAAATAAGGCTCCTGATTCCATCATTTAGTGAATGAAGTCTGCGACATTGCACCAAGGTTTCTTCTCACATTTTTTTTAAAACTCATTTTCTTCTGAGGGAGAAGGTGGTGCAAATCTTTTCATTGTCCCTCATCCATTAACTCTTCATCCCGTCTATCCTTTGCCTTCCACCCTTTATCAACATTTTCTTTCTTTCCCAGTGTTACTTTCTTCCCAATCTGTCCTTCTTAATCTCTTTCTATCCTTCCTTTCACCCCGCCATCCACTCCCTCTGCTGCCTCTTGTTTCACCCTCACTTTCTATCTCTGTCAACAGCTGAAAAGAGAAGACAGATGACCAGAGAATCAAGACTTACTGACAGCTGCTGTCAGATCACATCTATGAAACACACTAACACCAACACGCACACATGAGCACACAAACGTAGAAACCATACACGCACGCACACAGGTGAGTCAGGGAATCAGCAGATTTTCTGTGCAACAGCAACACATCATTACCCATTTTTATTTTGGTGTCAGATGACTGCTTTCTCATGAGATGTTTTCCAAATCCTGAATAGTGAATTACTTCCACATTATGCAGTAGTGAATCTTGCTTTAACACTAGCAATAATTTTGTCTTAGTGTCATATATTTAAAGAAGCAGCAATATATTTTTAAGCAAAGCTCTTCAGGAGTAGCTATTATGCTGAGATATATCAGCACAATATGTCAAGTCTGTACACATCTCAGCTGATACAGCACCTTATGTCTGTCACTAAACAGATTACTAATGTGGAAAACAGCAGCTTTAAGAGGGGTGAAGAGGTTCTTGTTGAATACAGATCACCGGCAGTAGTGCAGCTGTGCTGGTGTTGCTATTAGCTCAGGATGTGCATCAGCTACATCTACAACCAAATGATCATTTGTGAATATCTGTATGCTATAGTGGGCAAATAAATCACTGCTCCTAAGTGTGAGTGTGTTTGTTCGCACGTTTATGCTGGTGTGTGCGTTTGTGAGTGCACATTTATCCATGTGAGTGTGTGTGCTTGGCTATGAATGATTTGCAATGCTGAACTGGGAATCACTGGCCTTGGCATTAAAACATTACACACAGCGTGCCTAAAATGTGCCTGTGTGTATTTGAATCTGCACCTGCAAGGACTGCAAAACACTTCAGTACCACCAAATCTTAGTCTTGGATAAAGAATCACAATATTGGATTCATGAGTATCTCCACTTAACAAATGTACTGCTCATGCAAAAATATGCAAAAAAGGTATAGCAAGAATTTTCTCTACGCTTCAGTACACTATGTTATATTGATGATCTTTCTATTATGATACATTTTGGTATTTTGATGCTTAAATAGTATCTCTGTGTAATTGTTAGTGAATGATTACAGATACAGTACCTGCACATCTGAGTGTTGTGTTCAGTCATCGATACCAGCAGTTTCAGTGCATGGAGTGGGATCGGCTCTGCTGCTCGAAGAAGAGACTCATACCTAGACATAAACATGTCTGAGTATAACACTTGGCTTTCGTAGTGTTAATAATTAATGCACTGTTCTGATCATTAGTAACAGAGTGTAAACTAGAACAGATCTGGAGAGAAGGGTGGAGAAGAGGGGGAGGGGAGAACCAGGGTTATAATAGGAGAAGGAGAGATAAGGAAATGTGAGATGAGGAGCAGAGGGGAGAGAATTTGAAGAAAAAAAAGTGAACAAGAGGTAACACATGAAGCAACCATGCAAGCGAAGAACATTTTTAAAAAGAGGATGAAAATATTAATGGTATTGGAAGAAACTGCATATATCCACATGATGGATGTGAAGGAAAAGTGAGAAATTCACATCCCAAATATCAGCATCTATTTTGTATTCTTGTTATTCTGCAGTGACGCAAACTTCTGCAAAATACACTCATCTTTCTCTGCTCTGTCATTGGATGCAAACACTCATAAACAGATGCCTGTCAGTTAACTGTATCTATAGAAGCATGTTGCAAAACACAAAATATATTTTAAAGAAGGATTTTGAAATTAACAAATCCTTACTATATCACTAATACTTGAATTAATGTGCAGATACCTTAACCGGACTGACAACTGTGTAAAAAATCCCATCATATTATGAGAGCTTCATATATATCATGTTACAATGTTGGACGTTTATATCAAACGCGCCCAAAGTAGTAAATAATGAGATAAATGTATGTAAAAGTAATTCCTGTGAGAAAAAAAGCTCAGGCTCAGACTTGTTTGAATGCTAAGTTTCCAGAAGTTGTTTCTACTTTCATGCTAAGCCAACGTCAGCTCGTCGTGGATTTCTTTATATGGTTCTCTGCTCCAGGCACAACATGCCCACAAAGTCAAACTATGGATTTATTGGTAAATATATGTAGATATCACTCTTGAGTAGAATTACAGGCATTTCATGCCCCCCTGCTTGTTTCAGACAGTGGATGAACTGAGGGGCTGTATAAAGGGCCAGTAAAACATTTTCTTGAACTGTGAATCAAGCGAAACTACTCTAGTGGAGTCCCAGAATAAAAGAAGGTCCTCTTTAATGTATTTTTGCCTTGCAGCAACAGTACTCAAGCTGGTTTAGTTAGAATTTCAGTGTAAAGCTAGTATTTACCCAAAAGGCATCTGCATAAGCCAAGGACTGGGTCACACTTCATGAAACATGGTCTTGGTTGTGAAAGGGAATCAAAATAAATGTTTTATTATTAGGAAACATAAATGATAACTCAACCACTGACAAAAATCAGTCGGCAGGAATCAGTTTGACATTCATTGAAACTGTAGTAGGGTGTGATTGTTTCGAATATGTTGCATTGATAAGAAAAAAAATGCTATTCAAAGAGCCAATAGCAATTTTCTGTGGAATCCAGAGACACTTTCAGACTGATACTACTACTGATAGTGAGACCAACCTTAAAAGCAGAGATTTAGTGAAGAGAGATAAAATCTGACTCCGGGAGCTTTTGTCTTCTATTCTTTCTGTCATCCCTCCTCTCTTTTCTTCCATCCTTTCCTCATTTTCTTCAGTGTCATCACCATCTTCAACCAGCAGGACCAGACTCAGTTCAGACAGGACCCTCAAAACAAACACGGACCACTCCACTGTAGCACAAACACATCGACAGAGAAGAGGATAGGATCTGGGATGAGAAGCTGAGAAAACACACATGATGTTTTCCTTCCATAAATGACTTTTTGGTTCCAAGCGGATAATAATATGCATTAAGAATTTTGCTTCATTTACGGAGTGACAGAATTTTAGAGTAAATGAAAAGATGCTCAGTGACATGTTTTGAAAGGATCAGTGTCTAGACAATACTGACTGTTACTTTTGCTGGCTCCTTGTAAGACAATTAAAATAAACAGAAACAACCACATCAAAATAAACATCACAAATCATACCAACACCATGACTAAGATAGTTTAATATCACACTAATATCATTATATTATACATCATTCAGCCACAATATTAAAACCACCTGCCTAATACTTTGCAATACAGATTAGGAGACTGGCAGCAGGTCTTTTAAGTCCTTTGGGTTGTAGAGTAGGACTTCTGTGGGTCAAGGAAGTTAATCCCACAGAATTTTAAGTATCTTGGGACCTTGGGGAGTTTTAAAGGGAAGATCAACACCTTGGGCTTTTGGTCATGCTCCTCGAGGCAGTTTTTGCAGTGTGGCAAGAGGCACTGTCCTGCCATTAGGGAGTGCTGTTGCAATAAGAGGGTGTGATTGGTATGTTCAGATGGCTGCTATATGTCAGAGTAACATCCACATGAATGACAGGACCCAAGATTTCCTACCACAATACTGCATTGTAACAACATGATCAATATTACTGTATAAAGGTCACCTGTTGGTGGTTGTAACGCTCTGGCTGATGGCTATATATACTATATAGCACATAAATGGATGATGAAATATCAAAAGGATCAGTGGAGGATTTAAGCTGTTTTTAAACTAACAAAGTGCAACATTATGGCAGGAAAACACAACAGTATTGGTAAAAAAAAGAACATAATTTTACGCTGACGACTGACTTCTCATGTGGAGACCCATACAGACAAAACCAGAATGACTCACTGAAGGTTCAAATCAAAACACTGCAGTGAATTATTGTGCTAGCACTTTCCACTAGACACTGCAATTTTATTAATGCAGAGATTTTCACAACCTTAAACATTCAAGGTTAGCTGCTCCAGCTCACTATTGTGCTTCTTCTTTGTGATATCTTTTCACTTCACACCTTTCCTCACCCTGTCGATTTATACATTTTTCTATCTATCTGTCTATCTATACACGTACCCACCTACCTTCTTCTCAGATTACTTTTTGGCATTTTTGTCCATGTTTGATAACAAATGGGAAATGAGGTGAAAAGAAATGGGGTGTAACAGCCAACAAATGCTCCCAGCTTTCTGTTCTGAGGATGCTTCAATACTTCCAAACCTGCTGTTCCACTTTTCTCGTTTGCCATTTCGTCCTCACTCCCTCCTCCATCACTCTGACATTAGCTTCTCTAGCCCACATCTTCTCTGTCTCATTCTCTTAAAAAATGACCCACCACTCTTACCATTTCTGCTGAAAGCCAGTCTTGTCAGAGGAGGTAGGATGGCATCCACAACCTTCAAGAGACATTAACAGTCAGAAAAAACAAAAAACAAAAAACTTTATACATGCCATATTGTGCTGTTCCTTGATCACAATACCCTGTACGAAGCTGACTGTCTTCTCCAGTAAAGCAATAACAGAATCTGGCAGAATCAATTATGGTTTGGTGTTACATAAGTTCAGCTGAAGATAAAGTCATAAGCATGAAACAGCTCAGGTCAGAACAGTGGAAAATTAGCTTGCCAATGTGCTGAGGGCTTGAGCGTATAAATATTGGTTCAATAGTTCACTGCTGTCCTAGGTTCGCTTATTTATGAGAAAAAAGTGTATCAATAGACATAATTTCAGTGCTTCCTCTAAAAAAAATGTTAATATACACCAAATCTGCAAACAGGATATATTTTTAGATTAAACTGAATAGGAGACGGTGCAGTATATTAATTCTGTGGGCATCAACCACGCAGACCACTGTCACACAGGATCAAATTACTATGGAAATGCACTGTTGAATGATTTCTTTGATCAAACACGGACACACACGAACACGTACTTTCGCAACTGTCAGAGCCCTTATTTAGGCACGAATCTGTATTGCATGAATTTGCATGATTACTAATATTACCATAGAAACAAAACTAATGCTGAGTGAGTGTGTGTGAGGTCATTACATTGAAAGCCTGAGAAGGAAAACTACAAAGGATGTTGTCCACCACTTAATGGTCTGTGTATTAATATCACAGCCATCAAAAGACTGAGACTGAGTGTGTGTGTGTGTGTGTGTGTGTGTGTGTGTGTGTGTTTGGTTTGGTGCATTCTCTGTGAACTCAGAGCTATGGGTAGCATGTCCCTCCAATTTCTGAAATCCTTTCTTGTCCCCATTTTCTGTCTCGGCTCTTTTACCTAGGTATCCCTCTGTCTATTGTCCAGTGGTGAAATAAAGAACATTTTTTATTATCTCTACAATTGTAACTAAACATGAATTTCATGCACATTCCTTTAAAATCAATGCAAATACTCTTAAGTAATAATTAATTAAGTAATAGTCTATGGTAATTTTATTCTCACAGGACCAACATATTTTTATCTTATAGTTTTTCTACAGCTTAAATTTGAAAGATTTTGAATGCGAGCAACTGTAACGTAACCAATTTCCCCTCAGGGACCCAGAACATATTTCTGATTCTGATTTTGATTCTGAAATTGCATTTGTTTATAGCTGCTCAGATTGTTAAAGACCAATAACATGTGTTTTAAATGTTTTTCCTCATCACACTTAAATGATTTGCAGTATTAACTCAATCCGGACATTTAGTGAATTCCTGTCACTGCTTGGTTTATGCAAGTAATATTTACATAGCAGAACCGTAAATTTAACATATTCCCTAAGTGACAAAGTGGCTTCTGTTTGCTGTGGCAACAAAACTTACTGACAAAACTTTACTCAAACTGTGACAAGGATTCAGAGACGTAAACTAGCTCAAACATGAGTGGGTGTCCTTGTCCAGTGGGCAATAAAAGTTAATCTGAGCTGGCTGCTGGTAATTAAAGTGTCTTCCTGTGTTATTGACTATCAGTAGCAGCAAGCCTCCTCTTTGCTGCTTTCTTCTATTCCTCATCTCTTTCCTTTTCTCTCCCTCCATCCTGTCTGCTTCCTGCTGCTCTCCACTTCCACACGTCAATAGTCATTAAACACAATCTCATCGTCCCATCCCGTGCACATTCACACAGGCACACGCACAAAAACACACACAGATCCGATGAGGCTCAGTTGGTTCAATAGTTGATTAGTGTCTTGCCTAATAGCCCACAAGTTGACCCTCCGTCCTCTGATCACTAATGGACAAGTTTAGTAGACTGGAAGACACACACTGAATATACGAGCAGGGGGCCACTATATGGAATCGACAAAAGGCTGTACTTATTTAAGAAGACACTTAAGAAAAGAGAAAAAAAAAATCTGTGTTAAAAAAAAAAAGTGTCAGTTGCAGAGGCACAACAGAATACTAGGATGATGACAGGCTGTCTCCAAAGTCACATCAGATGTAATCTACTACCATTTGCTGAATATCACAAGATACCTGTCCTATATTGCTTCAGTAAACTTATAGCAGATTGCCAAGCAGCCCGGCAGACAGACAGGCAACCAGACAGACACTCAAGCAGTGCAGTGAAGCTTCCACATATACTTACAGCACTCTGATATGGAGTGATGAGAGCATGGTGCTGACTCAGGACTTCCACAATGGACAAAGTTGTTCTAATCAACTCTTCACATATTGCTGCACCTAATGGAGAATGAAATAATATTCAGCACTACTGAGTCATGTCCCCGATAAAAGCACAGGATGCCCTACCAGCTGACCAGAAACCAAAATCCCCTGTGCCAACGGTGATGTATTCTAGTTGTGAATTCCCACTGCAGCATGGCAGATATCATGGCCTTTGAGCAAGGCATTGAGCGTCTCAGTTGCTTCAGATAAATGAACAGTGGCTGCACTCTGCACCTCGCCTTGTACACATGCATTTGTAATTCAGTGCAACACCTGTCAGGGTTGTCTCTTCCTCCCACATATTCATACTGTTTCCTTATGAGTCAAAGGTGACTTGGGAGTTAAAGTGCAGATTTCACAGCTAAACTTTATATGCTGAAATGATTGTAACTGAGTGCCACAGCTTTTAAAAATACAGAGGTGCCATTAAGTATAACTTGGTAAATTAAGGAAATAAACTGTACAACTGTATTTAGCACCTGAAGCAGGATTAAGACTTGCATTTAGGAATCAAATAACAGGAAGATTAACGACAAACATGAAGGTAAAGCAAGTGTATAGAAGAGGGACACAATGCTAATCACATAAATAGTGAATACATAAAAATGAATACTATAGTAGTAGAATAAGTAGATAATGATTGAATATATGTGAACATTGTAGTCACTATAAAACAACTCACCCACAGCACTGGACAGATTTGTTTCATTTGACTCTACAGAGGTAATGTAGTTCTGACAGAGACAGAAATGGTAGAAATTACATGTTTGAAAAGAAATAACACAACTATAGAAGGCTCTTTATTTTTTTGACATACTCATAACTACATGCTGTTACAGTCCAGACTTCAAGTATTTGGACACGTTTCAGCACATTCAGTCTTTAATAAAATATTCAATACTACATTAAAGTGCAATGTCTCAGTATACAAACTGCAGGAGTTCCAAAGTAATTAGACACTTGGCAGCTAAATGTTTGGTGGGCAGCTGTGTGTCATTTAACTGTTAGACAATAAACCAAAGAGTTCACACCTGTCTCAGAGTTGACTGAGAGTTGCCATTTAGATTGAGGTGAATCTTCAGTCAATATGTGCAGTAAAGAAGTGACCATGCAAGTGAAGAAGGTAATATTGAGGTTTAAAACAAGCAAAAAGCTGAGATATCCAATGTAGTTGGTTTGCCAAAAAAGCAGGTAGTTTGAAAAGCAGGCGCAAAGAAACACAAAGGCAAATGACCTGAAAACTGAGGACCACAAGTCTTGATGATCAGTGAAAAACATGTGGTGGCTACAGTAAAAGCCTTGGAGGGCATCAGCAGAGGCGTTACAGAGTGTCAAACAAAATGTTAAATATGATGATTTAAAAAAAAATAAAATAAATCTATCCAATTACATTCACACCTTTACATTTAGTGCTTCATGTGTTAAAATGACTCTCACACACAATGTTTTGTATATTGTGTAAACCTATTTAATGTTGTATCCACTGTTTTATTCCTGATTGACTGTGCTAAACCAAAGAGCCTAAAAACTAAAAGCAGTCTAAATACTTACAGTCTGGAATGCTATCCTAAATGTCTTAATGGTTCAAACTTGCCCTTGTACATCCTAGTTTTTGCCTTCAGTCTGTGAAACAACCACTCTGCTGAAGAGACATAAAAAGTCGAAACATGACCAGATACAGAACACTTACCAGCAGCAACCCAATATGCGTCAGAAACTCTTCGGTTACAATTTGAGATCTGAAGACCTGTGAGGAAACATAGAGTCACTCACATCATATGTTTGTCTCAATGGCTGTGCAAACACATCCGAATGGTTTGCAGTAAATAGATTTAACTATGTGGTGTTTACCTATGGCTTACCCATTGCCTAAAACACTAGTGCAAAGTACTGTATATATTTTTTAACAGGTCCACTCATCCAGGCGTCAATAGGAGTGATTAAAAATAAGTATAATTAAATAATTGACTTGCAAAACACATGAAGAAAGCTGTGTAGCAATAGAGATGAGCACTGGTAATTTAAAGGACTAATTATGAATATGTTGCAGACAATCTTGTTAAAATGTAAAATTCAAACAATGAAGAAAAATAATTTTGGTCCAAGTTACCTGAGATGAAAGAAGTTCCAGCACCACCGACACAGTAGGTAAGGTGTGTTTAAGCTGTTTACTTTGAGCTGTAGATGGGTGTCTCCTCCCAATCACACCCTTCAGGGCACATACGACGTCCTCTAGAGAGAGGAGAGGAGAGGAGACAGGACAAGGGGACACATGATGAGATGGAATGAAAAGGAGGGTTAATTAGGTTGCTTAGGACAATACAACAGTATAATTTTCATAAAGCTGGATTATATTGAAATGCAAAGTGTTAAAATGTCCTTAAACCATACAAATATCTGTATTTCCTATGTACAAAAACAAGTTTTCTTCATCACCTGAAACTCTAAAAATGGTTTTGCAGAATGGGAAGTAAAAAAAAAAAAAACTATTACATGTAGTTCTGGATAGGAAATATGGACAATGTTGAGTTACTGATTTTAGAATGTATTTCAACATTCAGGCAAAAAATAACAAACGGAAAGCATATTCATGCAGAAGTGTGTTTACCCATTATCCCTGGCGCAGTGCTACTCAGATACACAATCAGTAAATCCAGACACTGAGACAGGTATCCTGACTGGCTGGGATTCTCTCTGAGAGGAGTGGCTTTGCGCAGGTCTCTCTCCAGGTACATCACAAGTCTAGAGAGAAAGAGACACACATGCATTATATGTCACACAGTAGATGGCTCAAGTTATTTTCACCGCCGTGTCTATTTTAAAGATGCAGGTTTTGACCGTTCTACTCGTCACTGTGGCTCGTTCAACTATATCCACTCAATGACAAGCATGTACATATTGAAATGATGCAGGAACAATAACATTGTAGTCACTGAGCTACGAAATTCTGACAGGATGCATAAAAATTAGGGGCAAGGAGATTGTTTAAGAAAGAGACAGACAGTTTGAGAACATTTTTATTCTCATCAGACTGTGTCTGTTGAACAGTAATCAATAATATTCTATTCACAAATTCAGAGCAGGGAGGAAAAGGTTACCACCACTAACTGATATTCATTACAGAAACACAAACACACCCACGAGTGTGTATGAGTACACGCACACACGCACACACACGAGCACAAGCATGAATAAATGCAGACACATGCAGAAATTCAAAGAGGTCATATTAGTTAACAAATATTGATTCCAAGCCTCAGAGTGGCAGTGGTTCAGGGGGAGCAGGTTATTACAAATTCAGGATTTTTCCTCATAATGTTGCATAAAAGATTAGCATCCAGCATTTGCACTGGAATCCAAGATAGCTACTGTAACTGTATTTTACAGTTCATTTCAGGTGAGCTCTCAGAATATTTACTGGATTTCTCGCTATTGTTATGGGTTTAGTGCAAAGCAAAATAACTAATGCAAACAAAAGAAAAACAAACAAACAAAAAAAAGACAAACCATTGCCATTAATTGGTCATATTAAAATTCACTTGCAGTATAACCTTGAGTCTGGCCACTGAGAAAGACCTGCAAATTACTAATTAACTTCACTGATTTATACACTGTTTAATCACCTACCTGTCTGAAATGATTAGACAGAAACAAGTAAGGAACAACCTTGCCACGATCTAAGTAATCAACTATCACAGTCAAATGATTCCGACATAGTTGGAACACTGGACTTATGCAGAAATTCTTTCTGACACGATCCCTGAAGCAAGCAAGCTTACTTGCTTTCTGCAAATGTTAATCCGTTGTTATTGTCATTAAAATTATTCTAGTTAAACAGTACCAGTGGAAGAGGGCAACTCTACCAGGCCAGCACACTGTACATTTACTAACAAAGTCACACAGCACAGATATCACAGCTTGCTGATGCTTTGGATTTTATATTACTTATATATCAACATATTATTTTATTTTAAGTCTGTTTTGTATCATTGTCCTCACATCGAAACCTCTTTTCAGTTTCACTTTCTTCACTGATTGCATGACATTGATATCCAGAATTTTCTGTTATTCAGTAGAATTCCTCCATTAAGTATTTCCTGTGGCACTGGCTGCCACACAACCAAGAAGCAGACTATTTCCATCCTCATGTTTAATGGTTGGCAAAGTGTTCTGACTCTATTCTGTTCTTCTTTTCTTTCCCCCTCCAGCCATACCTTTGGTGACTGTGACCAAAGAGTTCCATTTTAATTTTCTCAGCATTTGTGTACAAAACAGCTCTGGCTAATCCAGACGGTGATTTGCAGACTTTAGACTGTGACAAGGTGGAGCAGTTGGTGAGCACTGCTGCCTCGCAGCAAGAAGGTCGCCAGTTGACGATCTTTCTGGGTGGAGTTTGCATGTTCTCCCTGAGCAGCATGGGTTCTCTCCGGGTCCTCCAGCTTCCTCCCACATGGTCCAAAAACATGTTGAGGTTAATTGGTGATTCTAAATTGTCCGTAGCTGTGAATGTGAGTGCGCTTGGTTGTCTGTCTCTAAGTGTAGCCCTGTGATAGACTGGCGACCTGTCCAGGGTGTCCCCTGCCTTCATGCTAAGTCAGCTGGGATAGGCGGAGTATAGATAATGAATATATATATATATATACATACACATATGCACATATACACACATATATATATATTTGCTTCACAAGCTGTATTTTTGTCCCTTCACTTCCAAAATAAATGTAAAAAAATAAATAAACTATGTCATTTGCCCAAAGTTTTGCACACAACTGTAAATCCTTGGGCAAAATTGTTACTGACAACAGTATCTTAATAGCATTTGATTGGTATTTATACAATGATAGAATTGACAAAGACCAAAAAAAGGGACACAAATGTAACAAATAAATTATGATCAAAGAAAAAATTTCACTTTGCATTATCCAAATATGTCGGGATCAGGTTGGGATCCAACTGCATGAAGGCCTGCCATATAAACTTTTTTTAATCAACTACTTTAAAGGACATGGAGGGGGAAAAAAATCAAGCCTCATCATCCATATCCTCAAATTCAGCTTTTGAAAGACCAGGAACACAGTCCAAACTCATTTTCCTCTCACATTTAAAAAAATGAAAAGCAAGTAGAAGAAAAAACAGGATTGTTCTTTGAGAGAATGAGAACCCAGTATCCAATAGTTTTTTTAAAAAAGATATTTCAGTCTGGTGCAAAGTTGTAGAGCAGCCAACCGTCCAAACCCTGTGCGTTCTTCTCTTGCAGCCATTTTTCCAGACTGCCAAACAAAGAGAGACAAACTTGCCACCTCTCTGTCAGTCACTGTGGGAGACTCACAAAGTACTCACACAGTACTGACCTACAAGTGGCCCACAGTGTGTGTGTGCGACTACATCTGTTGAAAGTCATCACACTCCACTCCCAGTGGCAACCTTGACACTTACTCAGTGAGACCTGTGTGAGTTTATTTCATAAAGACAAAAACAACACACACACATACACACACACACACATATATATATATATATATATATTTTCATGCGACTGAGGAGCTAATTAAAGACAACGTGCCTGAGTGAGAGCAGGACTGAGGGAAAGACGTGTGTCTGTGTGTGTGGTTGAATCATGCAGAGTCCTCAGTGGGAGAGAGACAGGCAGGTCAACTCTGACAGCTCCAACTCAGTTAACAGAGAGAAAGCAAGTGAGAGGAGAGAGATAAAGAGTACAGGACGTGTCTGAAAGAGAGAGAGACAGAGAGAGAGAGAGATTGGAAAAGAGCTGGAGAGAAAGTATAAAAATAAAAACATTTTAATTCTGTTTTGTTGTTATGTGCAAAAGAAGGCTGGCAAAAATTGTATACTAAGGAATAGGGCAGATGATGGTATGGCATTAAGCGGTATGTCAGAGTGAATGGTCCAGTCAAAACAATCCAAAATTAATCATGGATCTTTATTTTAATTTATTGTCATTCATTCTATCTGGATCTCAGTTCCAGAGAACACACTATTACATATGGAATAAATATTTTTTAAGGTATAGTTTTTAGGGAATTGGTACACCAGAACACAACGTACTGTAACATTTTGTACTAAAAGGAAATAAGGAAAGACAGATGACGGCTAAACCGCTACTTTGCAACACCACTGCCAATTTAAAAATGTTTTTCTAAAGAGAGTTTGTTTAAGAAGAGAATACAACTTTATTCTCCACCATAGTGAAACACTTTCTTTTTTGCTTTTAAAGATATTTAGAGCACCAAGTCCAATTCTCACAACTACTTTGTTTTAATTATTTCTAGCAGACCAGCTCGTTTATTTCCTTTGTGTATTGCATTGTGGACCATAAGTGCCCATCAATGCCACTCTCACAAGTGTCAGTGACTGTATAATTCTGCATAATAAATTGTATTGCGTGTAATGAAGCTTTGAGGATGCTTAGTTTTGTCAGTATGAACCCACAACTGCTTCAAAGCTCAATTACGACTGTTACGTAGTGTACCATTGATTTGGGATATAGCTTGTAATTTAAACTTTAGAAAAATAGAATAAAACCAGAAAACAAATTCTTAATAATTTGGATATTTATTGCTTGGCATAATATTAAACTCCATTTATACTGAACTAAAAGGGTTCCTTGGCAGCTGAGAGGTTTTGTGATTATCTGAGTCAAAGGTAATAAAGTGATATAATGAGATTAGTACTTGATTTACGGTGAGAAAATACAGATACAAAGAAAATCAGTGGCTGTGTCAAGACACTCCACTCCAAATAATCTTGACATTACTATTAAATAGAATAGTTCATCTGACTGTTCATGTTTGCTATATGTCAGAAAGTAATACTGAAGACAGATAAAAACAAAAATCTGAGACTGAGAAACACAAAGAGGAGAAGGTAAGAGTGGCATTTTAATAACAACAAAAAAACAACAACAAAAAACAAACTTGGCAAAAAAAGAGGGACAAAGAAGATGAGAAACAGCAAGGAGGGGAAAGATTCATAATGTAGGGCATTTTTTTCAAACTGAAATGCCAACTGGATGTAAATTACCAGGGGAACTAGATGTATGTATATATGGATGTATAATGCATATGCATCTGACCACAAGGGCTATTCCCATTCACAACTGCATTGCACAATGTGAGGTGAAACACAGGACAACCAGTTAATGAACCATTTGAAGTTCCAGTAAAGTTACAACATACAGTAGCATAAATTAAATGCCCTGGGTACATACATTTATATTATCATTCCCACGGCTGCTGTGCTACTTAACACAAAGGTTACACAGAGTGCAACTGCATTGCCAACAACCCCAGGCAGCATTTTCAAGGAAGTCTCCCTTCTAAAAGCTGCCTGCATTAGATAACGGATAACTTTGCTGAACAGTGTTCAAGAAGTGCTTGCATCAGAATTTGAAACCTCTGATTCAAGATAAATCACTCCTCAAAAGCATGCATGTTAAGATTTGTTGATTTAATTATTTCATGAGTTGAGAAACCGTTGAGTTTACCATGCAGCATGTCCGCACTTAGTCAGTTGCAAAAAATAAAATTAAAAAATAAATTAATGAATTAAAAAAAAAACATATATATATATATATACAGCGCCCTCCATAATTACTGACACCCCTGGTTAAGATGTGTTAAAATCCTTAAAATAAATTCAATTTTTTTTATTGCAGAAGCATACTCTCACACTGAAAATTGTAGAAAAATGTAACCTTCAACTCAATTCAAATGAATTGTTGGCAAAAGGGGGTTGTACAAGGGTGCTAATGATTGTGGCACACATGATTTGATGTAAAAGAATTATTTTTTAATGTGAGATTTTTTTCACACTGAGTAAATGCACTTGAATTAAAGGTTGAATTTTCCTCTTTTTTTTCATTGTGGTCTTATATCATTTAGAAAAAAAATGAATTTACTAGAAGCTAAGCTGCATTTTTGTAAGGACAGGACAAAACAGAGCTTTTGGGAAATGATGATGGAAGCCTCTTTGAGACATCATCAGCTGCTGTGTGGCAGTACAGTTGAGAGGTCAATTTTTTCTCCCCTGTACCTCTCAAACAACCTGAAAATGATGGACTCACTTTTACAAGCAAACAGGGTTTTTTTTTTGTTTTTTTCAAATTTTGTCAGTTACTGTGGACATAGTCTTATAATGTACAGCACGTGCACAAATTGCATTTTCAGGCACGTTCTCTCCCATTTTTCACATTTTCGGCTGAATGAAATTGATACTATCTGCAATTGCATCTCCCTAGCAGTCAGTTTGTCCCAGCTAAACATCTGGAATGACTCCTGAACCAATGGGACTGCTTGGCTTTAGCTATACATTTTATAAGGTACTCAAATTAAACTAGACAAAGTTGTTGTTGTGTCAGTGTTTACATATACTATTTTCTTCTAAGTGAACATTTTTACATTCCAGAGAAAGAGCACAATTTTGGATTTGCCCAACCACAACGTATACTGAAGAGGGAATTTAGTTTCAGCTATGGTGTGGCTGGATATGTGAGTGCACTCACATACTGAAAGCAACAGCTAAATAATTAAAGGGAAATCCCACCCTGAAATGGAATTCACAAATGCTACTTGTTTGTTCTCTGACAGTTCAGTGTATGTGTGAACATGGGCAACTACATTCCAGAGAAACTAATTAGCCAGTGGTCTGACAGACTGAGTGGAGTTAAGAGTGAGCTTCACTGGTCTAAGTCTGAGTACAGTCAGACAGTAGGAGGGTGCACAGTGAAATGTGATAAGTTAAGAGAGGCACATAACCCTCAAGCAGGATCCACGAGTTATTACTGTGTTGCAACGCAGCCCAATTAAAAAGAGTGTGACTCATTAATCAACAAAATGAAACTGTAATTCAAACTTTTAGCATTCTTGCATCTGGTTATCATCCTTTGCAGAGATGCTGCACTGGGAAGGTCACATAGCTTCTCACTTTCTACTGAGTAGCACATATCCAAGCCTAGATTTTTGCCCACCACAGTGTTTAAAATTGAATTTCAGTTCATCAAACTCTTACAGCTGTCTACGAAGACCTTAAATATGAGATTAAATCAATTATCATACATTCATAAATACCAGCTCCTCATCAATAAACTGACACATGGCAAAACTATGGTTTCATTATGTATGACTGAGGGGACACACTGAGTGTATTTACCTGTGTTGGCAGCAGTATAGCAGAGTGTGTGTGTTGTCTTGTATTAGTAGCAGCAGTAGTAGCAGTGCCTTGGCTCTTGTTACTGTAGATGGACTCTCTAGACAGCGCAGCACCTTCAACACCAAGTCCTGCCAGATGCAAATAGACAAAATGTGAAAATCTTCCTGAGGCTGGTTGTGGATATGTTTGTTGGTGTCCAAAGTGCCTTGTAATTCAGATATTTTCAGTGAAGTAAGATAATAGAACAGACTTCTAACGTTGCAAAGTAATACCTATGAATGAAAGATTTTCACATTAACATCCCTGCTAAGTTGGTTGATTCACAGCATGAAGATAAAAATGTACGGAACATTATGAATGTGTCTTATCAAAAGATACAGAAGTAAACTGAAAAAAAAACCCAAACGATTTCTTGCAGCTCTCAATGCTTTGACCCCTTGTAAGAAAAATGTGCAAATGAACACTTTCCTCCAGGTGTTCAAAATTGTATGAAATTTTCAGAAAATGCATTAACAAACAGACTAAAATATAATCAGCTCAGACTCCACATTATCACAAAACTTGTGCACACAGACACACGCACGCGTGCACACAAACACAAACTCGTGTCTGCCTACAGCTACTTGAGACAGCCAATCACTCAGCAGCAGTAACTGGTTGGAAAAAACTCGACTGACCAGCGTTCATTACCATTATCATTATCACCAGCACCATACACTGCTGAGTGTGTGCGTGTGTCTGTGTGTGTGTGACAGCAAGTACATCCATGTGTGTTTATGGAGCGACACACCAAGTTAATTAATTTCAAAGCCCAGTAGTGTGTGCCTAGCTGATAAGTCCCTCCCCACTACCCATAATGCTTTGCTGAAGTAGAAGGCTGCAGCGTGTTCATTCAGCCAATTAGCCCAGATACTGACACACTCAACAAATTAGCGGGTGTGCTTGCGTGCGCACACACTCACACTCACACTCACACACACAGTCGCTTCTCACATGCATGTACACAAACACACACATTAACAGACAGAGTTCTGTGTAAACAAACTCTTGGACTGTCTGTCTTTGTGCCAGGGGAGCGAGGGGGAGGTGGGGGAGGGGTTTGTGGGGGGTGAATGCATATCAGTGTATAATTAGAGCAGAGTTGAAGTACTAAGTTTGTATTCTGGTGTTAAATTGGAAATGCTCAATGCAAATAAATTCAGTTCAGAGTCAATTACCAATGCTAGACTCCAAGTTAAAAACCTTCAAATCAATTTCAGCCCCTCTGCCTCACCAAGATTAGCACATCACATACACACTAGATGGGCTGTCTTATGAAAAATTAAATAAGTAATTCCTGACAAATTAGTTCATGCACAGTTCAGCATTAGTTCGTGAACTGTATGGAAGAGAGAAAAAGAGATACACTAACAAAGACAGGGAGAGGAAGCACAACATGAAGATTTTGAGTATTTGAGGCTACTTTTGTTTCTTCTTCATGTTGTTGTGTAGTTATCTAGGAGTGTTTTCATCCCTCGGCTACTGTGCAGACACCTTCTCATTACAGACATTTCTCACATAAACTTCTCGAAAAATCAAACTACACTCAGTAAGTGATGCTACCACCTAAATCTCCTGCCAAATATTGCTGCAGCAATATCAATAAAATATAACATTACTACAGCGTAGTTGTTGATATGTGAGTGTATGTATTTGAATTTTACATGTTTTTTTGACATATATCGTCAATATTGTCATGTAGGTGTGTCTGAAAGTGTACACGTACCCTGCTCTGTGTGATGTGGTGTGTTTTGATACGTGAGCTGAGTAAAGCAGTGGCCACAGCAGTGAGCAGGTGCTGCTGCACTCTGGCCCCTGCTCCACCTATGGCCTCCAAGATGGCCGCAGGGCCACAGGTATCAATCACTGCCAAGAAGACTGCTGGGGCCGCACGGCTCAGCCTAGAAAGAGACTGAAGAAATAGATGGATAAACACACATGCACACATTGAGGTAATGTCTGTCAGTCATGAAATGTGATCCCATTCCTTACTAATGTCATGTTGCGCTGGAAGTCCCTGATGCTAGGCATATAAAAAAAATTCAATGCTTCAGAACATGGGATCACAAACGATCTACAAATACATTTTTTCCACGCCCTGTGCCATTAACAAATAAATAAAAATTATTTAGGAGTCTGACAGTGATTCAGGATATCAGATGCTGCATTTGGCCTAAATTAAGAGACGAACATGTAGTCCATCCTAATATAAAATGGATAAAGTTGAGTTACTACATCTGCAAAATGTTGTTTTGGAAATGCAGAATTTAACTTTTTTCCACAGCTGTCAGACAACACAATTCGAGCAAGTCAAGCATTTACCTGCTTTTACTTTGAATTTCCACAAAGCACTACGTTCATTTAAAAAAAACAAAAAAAAAAAACACCTTGTCTTTTGAATGTCAACCGCTTGAGTTCACCACCATGATTTGGTTGTGTATCTATGTGTTTGGAGGTCCTACAAAGATGGCAGTATGTGTTAATACTTTCACACATTCAGGATTGTTTGTATATGCATGTGAACTTACAGAAATGGCAGCGAGCCTGACAGCTTCCACAGTGGAGTGAGTGAACAGGAACCACAAGGCGGAGCCTATCTCTGTGGTAGCCAGGTGGTGGGAGGGGCCAGACACAGTTGTGGAAATGTTCTCTATGGCTTTCGCAGCCATATGGTGAACTACAGCATCATCCTGTGAAACCAGACACACAAATACCTGTAAAACATTTATCAACTAGGTATGGTAGGTGACTATATAGTGAGGTAAAAAGGAAGCACATTTTATTCAGTGAAATGACAAATTTAAGACAACTCTGTTAATACACAATTAACATGAATAGAAGAGAATAGAAGAGAACCCGCAGCAGAGTGACTGAACCACTTGTAATGTTTAAGATGGTTATAATTGTGGTAGATAATTATATATATATATATATATATATATATTGTACATGTTGCAACTGGACTTATATTAACACATTAATGACAAAGTCTATGTACTGTCTTACCTAAAAATATGTTTGGAAACTGATTGTAAGTTTAACAAAAGAAAAATGTTAATAGAGTCAACCTAAAAAACATCCTACAAACCGATTTGGAACCAAAGTTTGTTAAACCTTGCAGCTTGAATTCAAAGTCCTCAACTAACTACTATGACTCTGACCCGAATGACCCTTCTTAGCATAGTCTTTAAATGGGAAAGGACAGAGAATAACAAGCAGAAACACTGAAAAACATGCACAGAGACAATACAGGCCGAATGAATGTATTGTTGTACTACAATATGAACTGAAAAACCTCCAGGTACCAGTACAAATACTTGACATTAGAATAACCAGGCGGTGGGTGGCCTCAGTTTGTATTGTTCAGTTTGTAAAGACAAGCTTTAATACCGGTGTGTAACTTTGCACATACATTCTAATACCACTGCATATCATTGTGATTAGTGTCCAAACATTTTTTTTTGTCCTTGCCTCGCCATTGTGACAGCACATCTTCTGGTTCATTGTTAAGTTGCAAACTCAAAACTCGATTACTGAAAAATGTGACAGAGCAAAAGGCAGCAGTGTACAAAGAACTAATGCAATCACAAACTGACAATTAGATTAGCCCTCAACGTCAATACAAAACGCGGAGAGGTTGCATATGTGTATGAGCGCACTTGTGTGAGCATGTGTAAGTGTCCAAGTGTTTATGTGTGTTGCTCTGTGTATACTGTATGTGCCCACACACCTTTGCCTCAGCAGAGAACAGTTGTTTGTGTTCAGACAATGGGGCCAGGCTAATGAAATCTCTGTGGATGAGGAAATTAGTTTTTCCAGGAAAGTCATTGTGGAGAAAGACAGGAAGTAGAACAGAAGTGATTGCCTCTGTCAGGTTATTATTGTGTTTCACTGTGTTACATCACTTCAACGCTACGCTCCCTAGATATGAGATACAATAGAGCCTATTCATTAAACACAGTCAACTACATTTTGTGGTAAAGGTTCATATTAACAGCGAAAACATTAATTTCACTGTGGCAATTTAGCATGGTAATTCTGAAAAATATTGTGACAGATAATGACACTTTAACAAAATTGCTGTATTTCACATCTAAATAGCATTGACAGTCCACATAATAATGTATGAAACCCATAACACAAAAAAACTGAGAGACTTTAGACTAAATATGTACAATTACAGTATCAAACACATATATCCTTTGTATAAAACTTACTGATATCGCTGAAACTGGCAATGAAATGTTTTCAGTTTGTTCCTTCATAAACAACTGCAGTTATCGTCAGTTTGATTTCACATCTAAAATGGACCCAAATGGTGACACATTTCATATAATCCATTTTTCTTCTGTGTGCTCAGTTTGTTTCAGGCAGTCCTAGTTCAGACCCAAAATACACTGCTAATGCTTTGTGTTGTGCCCTCCTCTAAAGCTCCAGCAGTCCTGCAATATACTGACCATATGGACAAATGGCAGATGTGGATTATGTGGCTATGGCTACAGGAATACTTGAAAAACTGTTTGTTTATAGACATTTGGATTCACTGAAAATTTGTCAACAGTCTTTTACAGTACATGTTAATTAAAATTGACTATAGCTGGAAAGATCGTCAGTTCAGCAGGGCTGCAGTGGTTGAGGTGCTCGGATATGACCAAATGTTCATTTGTCGGACCATAATTGATGTTAGTTTAGCAAGAGAAAGATTCTACATTAATACCCTTCCAGGATTAATTTGGTGGTGGGAGGAACAGACTACCTGTGAACACCCCTACAGTTTACAACTTTAACCTTGCCCAACTCAATGAGAACTGCTAGATCTAACTTATTCCTGAATATGGACTGGTGCATGTTTACTGTTCCAAGTCGCTTGTTATCATGTCTGTATCTCATACCCAGATTGAAACGATTTAATAAGTTGCAAATACTAGCGTTATACATTAATTCACAATTTGTTTAGGGTACGAAGGCTAGCAGGTAGAGTAAACTCTGGCCAATTTAGCTTTTTCTAAAGTTAACAAGCACATTTTTTTTGCCCCACGGCCAGTCGATTGGTTGGAAAGTTGGTACAATTTCAGTTGACCAAGATTTTCGTTGGTTGACTACAGTCCTATAGTTCAGATGGAACTGTCAACCCCCCCCCCAAAAAATAAATAAATAAATAAATAAAAAATAAAATAAAAATAAAAAATTGCCTCAGTACCTAACTTGTGCAGTATGCAATAACAGCAACTTCAGCAGCTACTGTCCTGCAGAAACCTTATGTCTAAAAAGTGAACTTTAAGCACTGGGAAAAATGTTTCTTCTCTTTTGGAAGCATGGATGTACCTCTGATATATAACAATGCATCAACAGTCACACTGTGATCCACAGTTATTTTGTATTACACATTATGCAGATACATCATATTCAACCACATGGGAGCTGTAATCATAACTGATAACTTAAAAACCCAACCTATTAATCCAATATAGGACATCACATTGTGTATTCAACACCAAGGGACTACGTTGAACGACAGCATAATGAATCCTCTGGCACCCCTCCGGGAACCAGTAGAATGGTCTGTTCCAGCATTCCCCAGGCCGTGCGGGCCAGCTCACTAATGAGCCCACGGGGGAGCACCCACTGTCTGTGTGTTTAATAGACTGTAGCCCTGCCAGGAACTACACAGAGAAGGGGGAGTGGGGGTGTTAAAGCGAAAGAGAAAGACACAGAGACAGAGTGAGCGAGATATCCTCACATGTGGTGAGAAACAAGTAGCTCATGCAAGAAATTTCATCATTATGATGCATGCAGAGTGAGAAATTCAGGAGACAGAGGAAAGAGTAAGTTATTCTCATTATAATTTCTCCTAGTATGAGAAACAAGTTCATCCAAGAAGCACTGACATTATATTATACTTATTGTCCTACTTAAACCTAATCTCCAGAAAGTCAAGTTTAGAGAAAATATAGTTACATTTCTTTACAGTGGCACCTTTAATAACTTGGCTATGGGGTCAAAATAAAAGGCTTTATCAAGTCTATCTTTTTCAAATGTCAACGATGACAATCTGTAATTTTGCATGACACAACTGAAGTTATTCTGTACAATCACTAATATTTTCTCTCAAAATATCAGAACGTCTGGTGTATAGAAAAAAAAACAACAAAAAAAAAACAGACCACATTTTAAAGATGCTGAAAAACTTTGTGACAAAGAAAACCTGTCCAGGTAGTTGCTTGACAAGCAGTTTAGAATTTATTTCTGTGCAATAGCTCTGTGAGGCTGTGATCGGCCACAATGAACCTTTGAGGTAAATGCTAATGTCAGCAGGCTAACATGGGTGCAATAAAAAGGCTAAAGTTGGTGTTTAGTAGGTAAAATGTTTACTCAAGTCACGACCTCAGTTTACCGTGTAACAATGCCATTAATCTCAAGCTAACCAAGCCAATCCTTTGTGGCAGTTCCACGGTCATGGTATTGTACAAGGTAATCATTGGCATGACTAAGACACTTAATGGAGCAAAGCGACCACTGACTCTGAAAAGGTGCAACTTTTTCTTCTGTGCTATCTCTGTAAGGGAAAATGTCTGTCACAAAAAATATCTGCTAGCTAATTTTTAGGCTGCTAGGAAAGTAGTTAGTTTGCACATATCCTACGGTGGCCCAGAAGTGTCACAACAAAACAAAAGCCACAACACAACACAATAAGCCACAACGCTACAAAATTAACCACAACACTACAAAATTAGCTGCAATACTACAAAATTAACCACAACACTACAAAATTAACCACAACACAACCCAACTAAATTCACCACAACACTACACAATAAACCACAACACTACAAAATTAACCACAACACAACCCAACTAAATTAACCACAACACAACACAATTAGCCGCAACACTACAAAATAAGCCGCAACAAAACTTTTCCAACAATCTCCGGCTTCTGCCCACTTCGTGTGGCGTTACGCACTTCACAGTATAACTTCCGAGATAAAAAAAACAACTTCTGTTGCAGCCGTTGTGTTGTGTTGCGGCCTATTTTGTAGTGTTGCGACTAATTGTGTTGTGTTGCGGCTAATTTTGTAGTGTTGTGGTTAATTTGGTTGTGTTGTGGTTAATTTTGTAGTGTTGTGGTTAATTTTGTAGTGTTGCGGCTAATTTTGTAGTGTTGTGGTTAATTTGGTTGTGTTGTGGCTTTTGTTTTGTTGTAACACTTCTGGGCCACCGTAGGATATCTGGTCATAAACACAAGTGACAACATATGGAGCAATTGAGCAAATTGCAATTTTGGATTGATCAGATTATTAAAACTCAACCTGCTAAGATCTTGAGTATCTGCACAAACATTCATGGCAAAACATTAAATATTTGTAAAGTCAAGAGATCAACAAAATCATTACGTTGGAAAAATGTAGTATTATTTTGTACAAAAAAAAAAATACATAATGTTCAAAATTAATTTCCAACTTGCCTGTATCATTTTACAGCTACCAGGAGTTTTTTTCACAACTTCATTTGACAAGACAAGCTTCAATCAAATTCATCCTCTCCGCCACTTGCTGGAACTCAGACAGCACCTAAGCCTTCTGAAAACCAGAGAAACCCTGAATCCTTGTATTAATCTACAGACTTTTTTGGGACGATCCACATCTTAGTTGTATGAAAGATTAGAAATGCTTCTCTGACTCAACTGCAT